ATGCTGTTGTTCACTGGGTTGTCTGGTCCAGACTCTATTATTTACAGACCGCCGCCATATAGATGTAAAGGTGAATGATTTCATATAAAGCATACATACTGTTGAAGTTGCCTCCGGAAACAAAGACTTCGCAGATGGTGAGTGGGTCGGTGGCGGCGGGTTTTCGGATACGGACGTAGCGTCCAGTCACCATAGGAGAACAGGAAAGTGCGACGGTTTGACCAAGGGCCACTCCACCAATGACCATGGAACAGAACTCTGGAGTCTCGGTGCTAATCGGTGGATTGAACTCGAAGACTTCGATCGTTAAACCACTCAGACGATCAGCTGAAATATAAATGATATCGTTCTACAAAGTTACAATTATTTTTCGTCCTCATTCTCTCACTTACGAATAAATGTGCTTTGATAGCAGTGAGGTTCAAAGACCTCGATCGTCAAACCATTCAGACGATCAGCTGAAAGGACGTGCATATACCCTCATTGAAGCCACTTTACGACACAACGTGTGTTTTTCTTAGAATTCCTCATACATTTGTATACCGTTCATTGCTTGTATATCATATGACGTGAACGAATACCGTTCATGGGGTAGCTCTGTGGATTCCACAACCGGCTCGTCACCACTAGTTTGCTATAGGGCCCGTTTGCGAGACCTTAGTACTCCCGGTGACAAACAACGTACACTTGGTCCGGTCTAGTAAAGTCCTATTTGGCGGTCGCGCAATTTGGAACCAGGGCCCCGTTTCACACAGCTCTCGTAAGCCTAAGATCTCGTAACTTTTCTCGTAGCATTCGTACCCCATATCCTGTAACATAGGGAGTACGAATGATACGAGGAAAGTTACGAGATCTTAGGCTTACGAGAGTTTTGTGAAAAGGGTCCTGAACTGTCACCGCTTGTCACCGGAAATCTGGTACCGGAAGTAAGCTGGGCCCCGTCTCACATACCGCAAAGGGATCCGGGAACCAGCTTAGTATCAAACTTACAGGACCTATTGGGATGTAGACCCTGCTATCGTGGCCTGTAACGTGTCAATTGAATATTGAATATTTTAAATTAGCGATATTTGAACTAATGCTGTGAAAGCTGAATGTCCTACTGCTATGGTCACCACACAGCTCATAGTGTATTGACCATCATGCCATTTATTTCGACAGTTGAAGCTGATGCAGTACGACTTGCTACAGCTAAATAATTACATACCACAACAGTCGCCCCTGTTGGTGATGGTAAGACCGGACACGTAGACGCGGGACCCCAGGTCCACGTACCAGAAGGGGTTGGGGTCATTCGCTGGAACATCGCTGGAGAAACACGAGCCGGCAAAAAAGTTGGAATTGAAGTTGCCGTCGACGGCGAGGTTTGAGCTGGCGGTGATGGGAGGAACACCGTTGACGAAGACACTGCTGGAGCCGGTGGGGCGATTCTGTGCGATGTTGAAGCCTGGATTTACAAGAGAATCAATGCATAAATATAATATTGTGAAAGCGGTCAATTTTCTAACATACAGCAATCATTTCCATGTTTGATGCATCAGTGATAAATATTATGTCCAATGCATTTCCATCTTTTTCCTTCTACCACGTATTCCCATATTTTGGGGGGCAGTGGGGTAACCTAGTGGTTAAAGCGTTTGCTCGTCACGACCGACCGGGTTCGATTCCCCACATGGGTACAATGTGTGAAGCCCATTTCTGGTGTCCCTAGCCGTGATATTGCTGGAATATTGCTAAAAAGAGGTGTAAAACTAAACTCACTCAGTCCCATATTTTTCCAGGTGCACAAGTGGCAAGCCTTTACAATTGTTTATCCCGGTGCCACAGGTGGGGCAGGATACGCTCATTTTCATACTACCACTTTGTATTGTCACTATTTGATAGTGAATCACGAGCACATGCTTATGACATAGTCGCAATCATACGATCGGCTCTGCTTTTAGCAGAGACTTCAATTCTTTTGGATGTTGGAATTGTTATGACATTTATATTCATTATGGATGGGGAAAGGGTTTTGTATATTTAATTGCATGTACGATACCTAAAGTGGACAAATTCTTTGTGAAGATTCCACATTTTTTAGAAAATATGCATACGAAGCCTTTACTTACCGAAACTGTCGGCTTTCCCTACTGCTATGAGAGCCGCTAGGTACACGACTAACTTCATGGTAGAAGGAGGGTTTGACGATGGCCAGTGATTCCGGATCAAGGCTTATATACATATCAGGCGATCTCATGTCAAATGGCTTCTGATAAAATATAGCGTGTGTGAGAGCTAATAACGAAAACGACTTTGGAAGTGCTCATTAAGACAAGCCCGAGATAGGCCCCTGGCCATTACATGAAATGGGATTTATAGGAAACAGTTAACGTGACAGGGCTCCTAATCCGAACAACTAATCATAAGATTAGTCTCATGCATAGGTGTGGTTTTGTTGGGGTTATTTGTTTTGTTTTGTTGTGTGTTTTGGGGTTTTTTTTGGCATGTTCTTGCTGGGGTTTTATGTGTTTTGTTTGGGTTGTTATTTGTTGTTTTTGTTTGTTTTGTGTTTGTGTTAGATTAATGGGTGAGGAAATAATAATAACAATAAATAATAATAATTGTTTTATTATGCGCCTAATATCCACCGTAGAGATGCTCAGTGGCACTGTTACAATATTGGGAAGGAAATAGTTCATATGGGTTTTACAGAAAGGCAGTAGTTAACAGATGGATTTTTGACAGAGATTTAAAGTTTCTTTCGATAAGGTGTTCCTGATTTCCTTTGCTACGGTTGGTTTGGAGATCAGGAAAGTCTGTAAGGATGCTGGACCCCACCCAGTGTTTTGCCTTTTGGGAAATTATGTGTGCACTGGTGTTGTCTTACAATGAAAATAACATCTCCAACTTATTGAACATAGTTTCACCTTTCTGTACCTATAATTTGGAACCCTCGAAGAATTAATCTTCAGTAACCAATGATTGTCGTAAAAGGCGACTAACGGGATCGGGTGGTCAGGCTTGCTGACTTGGTTGACACATGTCATCGTATCCAAATTGCGTAGATCGATGCTGATGCTGTTGATCACTGGATTGTCTGGTCCAAACTCGGTTATTTAAAGACATCCGCCGTATAGCTTGAATATTGCTGAGTGCGGCGTAAAACTGAACTCACTCACTTACTTACAATAATTTTTAAATAAAGATGTACTGTGAGCCAGCCCACTCTTTCGGTACTTTTATGTTACGAATAACATTGTTTTAGTATTTCTAGTGGCTGTGACTGTACCTGCATCCGAATACAGATGCAATCAGCGATGAAATAAACATCAATTCTCACTCACTATTATTTTGTCTTTCCGCACGTTGATTGCCTAATTGTTCCATTGTTTTTGTTTTTAGAGTAACAAGGTGATATCACAGAGCATTTTCGGTTGCAGTAATACATTGACTATACCAATGTCTCAACCTGTGAACAAAAATCATTTGGACACGTTTTATCAACTGTAACGCATACAAAACAATGCTCCAACCTGACAATATAGGGTATACAGGGTATATGTATATCCGTAGAGTTATGTAATGTAAGTCATGAATTAATTTTGCAAATCCCTCACCAAGGCTCTCGATTTGATATTGTTAGGGCCATGCAATCCATTGGCTAGCTTGGACGTCATTCTGTATGTCACCCCTTCAACAGTTTACCTTTCAACAATATAACTTGGGGGATTTGAGAGATAACCCGACCAAGAAAACTGCGAAAATACTATGACGGTATTTCTATTGCCAAAAGTGTATTATAACAAACATAAAAGATACACAACGCATAAAATATCAAAATGCCTAATGGTCAAATATATATTTTTCTTCAAGGAAAAAACGGATCCTCCAGATAAAACATTTGGTCTTTTGGAACTATTTTATTGTATAGATGAAACCATTTCAGTCACGGTCATAACCAAACATTGAGTGAGTATGGTTTTACGCCGCTTTTAGCAATATTCCAGCAATATCACCGCGGGGGACATCAGAAATGGGCTTCACACATTGTACCCAAGTGGGGAATCGAAGTTTTCGGCGTGACGAGCGAACGCTTTAACCACTAGGCTACCCCACCGACCCTCATTATGAGGAATTAATAGTCTTGGTCTCCTTTGTGATTTTCAACGTGTAATTTATGATAAAATTTTAACTGGCATTTGACTGTATTGAAACAATATCTGACAACTAATAAAAGCACTATTGCAGAAAGCTTAAAGTTTTCCTCGTTTTGTGTGTTTGTTTTTGTTTTTGTTTTGTTTTGTTTGTGTGTTTTTTGGCTTTTTTGTTTTTTGGTTTTTTTTGTTTTGTTTTGTTTGTTTGTTGTTTTTTTGTGGGGGTGATTAGTTCGGGTTTGTTTGTTTTTATTTTATTTGTTTTGGGGGTCCAAGTACTTATGAAAACATACAATTTTTAGGGTAACACTCACCAGGGTAAACCAGAAGTGTTTATCCATTGTAGTATCTTTTTCTTCAGCGTGTAGGGGCCGACAGCATGAGGCATTGAAACAATCTTCTCTAATTTAATCTACTCTAGATCGTGTCAAAGTAGTGATCCTTTGATTTATATACATTTTCCCAAAACACAAGAACTTCATGACGTGTCTGAAGTCTTGGAGTGAATTATTCCCTAATTATGTGTCAAGCTAATCACTGTCTAGTCTGCGTTTTGTAGTTCTGATTCAGTCGACAGGACTATCAGAAGTGTTCTTAAAGGTATAAGCAATCGGTACGTGATTGACAAGGTCGGAAATTAGTCTTCTGTGAACACCTGTTTCTCGCTAATAATTTCATCATTAATTGCTCATTAATTGATTGATAATCACCTCTTCCTGTTTATGGCTTAGGGATTGGCTACGAGTGTTGTTAGTTTACGACTAGTCATAATGTTGTGTTATCTAATCAACCATAATGACGTCAGTATAGGTATATATACCGTGACCTCGGGAGTCCGGACAGCATTCCATCATCACATTCATAATGGATTTCATCATCTGTATAGCCGCTCTTGTAGCAGCTGCGAGCGCCAATAACTTCGGTAAGAAACTATCTGTGTGTACTGTCATAGGCAAACACATATCCACATGCCACAAACATTATACAACATTGTATTCTTCTTCATATTCCTATTAACCCGTGAAGATCCGGGTTAGAATTGATCTTCAGCAACCCATGCTTGTCGTAAGAGGCGACTAACGGAATCGGGTGGTCAGACTCGCTGACTGTGCTGACACATGTCATCGTATCCCAATTGCGTAGATCGATGCACATTATGTTGATCACTAGGTTGTCTGGTCCAAACTCGATTATTTACAGACCCCCGCCATATAGCTGGAATATTGCTGAGTGAGACGTTAAACAACAAACAAACATATCCTGTTTGTATCTTTTTAAATCCTTAATTCCACCGTCAGGCCAAAACATCGCACAGAATCGTCCCACCGGCTCCAGCAGTGTCTTCGTCAACGGTGTTCCTCCCCTCACCGCCAGCTCAAACCTCGCCGTCGACGGTAACTTCAACTCCAACTTCTTCTCCGGCTCATGTTTCTCCAGCGATGTTCCGGCGAATGACCCCAACCCCTTCTGGTACGTGGACCTGGGGTCCCGCGTCTACGTGTCCGGCGTCACCCTCACCAACAGGGGCGACTGCTGCGGTAAGTTTACCTAGCCTAATCTATCTGACACATGTAAACTCCATATTGTAACACACAACACCATTACTGGTGTGAAACCTAACTCACTCACAGATAATTCAATCAGTTTTCATATCCACAGCCTAAATCCTAGCCATGTTAAGGACCATACCTGTATACATGGATATGTCGATTATCATGTCTGTGGCGACTCTAGGTAACACAAACCCGATATCTAATTAAAGAAAACAATGCCCCGTTTTAGGTAAATGTCCCAAGGCTGTATTTGTCGAAACTTATCAGCACACGCGACATTCATAGTATTCAGTCTAGACACCCATCAAAACTTCACAGCCAAGGTTTTTTATCATTTGTACGAAAATGCATCTAGTTACCCCAACTGCCATTTGAAACAAGTCTAAAACACAGCTTCGAACCTGTAAGCTAGTGTCTCACAGCTGTCAAAGTACTTATTTATATAAGTAACAGAAAAATGAAGAAAAATGATTGTATGTTATAGAAATGTGTAAAACGATATTTTTTAAATTCCAGCTGATCGCCTGAGTGGTCTTACGATCGAGGTCTTCGAGTTCAATCCTACGACTAGTTCCGAGACTCCCGAGTTTTGTTCCATGGTCATTGGTGGAGTGGCCCTTGGTCAAACCGTCGCACTCTCCTGTTCTCCTATGGTGACTGGACGCTATGTCCGTATCCGAAAACCCGCCGCCACTGACCCTCTCACCATCTGCGAGGTCGTTGTAACCGGAGGCAAGTTCAAGCGTAAGTATACGCAGAGTTGATCAATTGTTTCACAGTTAATGTGTTCACAATATTCATTATCCTGTGTAAAATTAAATACAAACATACATATTCAACGATCATGCTTGCCTTATATACACGCGGTATTATCTTAAACGATATTTCCTGAATAGGATCCTTTAAAACAAAAGGATTTGTCCAAGTAAACATTTGTACGAAAATGTATAAATGTAATCGATTTTCTTCAAATGACATTCACGTAGCTAAATATTTAGTGATTTTATGTATACAAAGTTACACAGACAGATGTATCGTGTATCCTTGTGCCGTTTAAATTTTACTCTTTGAAATTGTATATAATTTACACTTAAAACTTCGTACACCATGTGCAAGTTGAACTTTGGACAATAATCCAAAGTAATTAAGCAGTTGGAAACAGAAATATGATTATGTACCATTACAAGTTTCTGAAATAGTCAGGGATACAAACGAGGATACCATCATTAAAATTTGCCCTGAATGTGTACACATAGTGCTACTGTCCACGTAACCTGTATTCTATTTCTGCAACTTCAGCGACATTCACTGGCGTCAACCCCACTAACGTCGCCCTGAATCGTCCAGCACGTGCTACCTCTCAGTTTACTTTCGCTGCCACCAACCTGATTGCCTCCCCTGGCCTCGCTGTAGACGGCAACTTTGACAGCCAGTTTGTCACCGGAAGAAGCTGTTTCTCCAGCATCATTGGTGATCTAACTCCCACCCTGTACATCGACCTTGGTGCCTACTACTACATCAGCTCCGTCACCGTCACCAACAGGGGTGACTGTTGTGGTAGGCTTTCTGTGTTTGTGTCCCTTTGATGCATGTTTTCAGAGCCGCAGTAGATTAATTCTATACGTGTCGTACCGTTATAGTGAGTGAGTGAGTTTAGTTTAGTTTTACGCCGCTTTTAGAAATATCCCAGCAATATCACTCGGGGACACCAGAAATAGGCTTCATACATTGTACCCATTCGGGGAATCGAACCCGAGTCTTCGGAATGACGAACGAACGCTTTAACCACTAGGCTAACCCACCGCCCCTGTTCCGTTATGTTTCAGCGACATTCAAAATAGTGATAGCGTTTGGATATGCGCGGTATTAATATTAGTAATGTGTTTAATCTAAGCACCAGGATGTACATGACCGTAAGAAGAATCTCTCATCCTTGCCCGCCTGTCCAATTGCTGTTTGAGGCGAGGATGGCTCAACAACCTGCGCAGAGTTAAGTCCCTTGAGCGTTCCAGGAACTGTCATGGGTATTCACGCTAAGACAGTGGAAGCTCATCTTGACTTAAACGGATACATTCTCCTATAACTTATAAGTCCATGTTTCCCACTCCTCGCTGCTGTTACTTACGGTTTATTTGTTGTTTAACGCCACACTCAACAGTATTCCAGCTACATGGCAGCGGGCTATAAATAATCGAGTCTGGACCAGACAATCAAGTGATCTCTAGCATGAGCATCGATCTACGCAATTGGGATACGATGACATGTGTCAATCAAGTCAGCGATCTGGCCACCCGATCCCGTTAGTCGCCTCTTATGACAAGCATGGGTACACATGAGTACGTGACAATGCTTGTATCTTTCCACCTATAAATGATTTTCTCCCGGTATCTAGTGTTTTAGCATCACGTACTTTTTATTGATTTGAATACACAACTCCAATCTGAAAAGCTAATAGTTAACCTTATTGGTGAAGGTTTGAGAATTAGACTTTTGTTTAAAAATGGTGCAAACGTTCTATATGCCTTATGACATGGTGACGTCATTCTCTGCTCCAGCTGAGCGTCTCCGCAACATCGACGTTGGAATCCTTATTAAGGACCCCTTCAAGTACCTAGAGTTCCCCCACCTCTGCGGCACCATCACTGGCAACGTCGCTGGAGGGGCTAACTTCACCGTCAACTGCTTCTACCCAGCCCTCGGCCGCTTCATCAAGATCCAAAAGACTAGCATGGTCGACAGCAACGACCTCCTAACTCTCTGCGAAGTCCAGGTCAGTGGGAGGTTCGCATCCCACAGCGAGGTCACCAACAAGTTCGTGGACGATGACGTTAGCCGTGCCATGATTGCAAACAACGAAGTTCCGAACAATGTAGAAAACGATGACGTTGATGCAGCCTTTGAATTTGATTTTAACAAGGACTGGCAAAACCTTGGGTGATTTGTGAAGCGTATATAATGCAAAGAGTTGTTGCTTTCAATCGAACACATGGATGAACGACTATATTCCAGTGATGAGACTATTATCATAATGATGTAGATGACAACCAATGTGTTCTATAACAAATAATGATTCTGACAGAAGTAGTTTGTCAAGGTGGGAAACAGTAATCACCTCGTGAGATTACCTCACGTTGGGTAACGGGATATGCTAATAAAACTTCACTTGTAAAACTTGTTTTTATGTATATTTGATAGGATTTCAAAGCAGAAAATAGACAGTGAAGCGAACGTTTGTCACACACCAAACTTGAATACCAGTAGCGAGAGCAGTCAATTCCCGACACTTGATACTTGGGACACTTGAATACCAGTAGCCAGAGCAGTCAATGCAAGACACTTGATACTTGGGACACTTGAATACCAGTAGCCAGCACAGTCAATGCCAGACACTTGATACTTGGGACACTTAAATACCAGTAGCCAGAGCAGTCAATGCCCGACACTTGATACTTGGGACACTTAAATACCAGTTTCGAGAGCAGTCAATTCCAGACACTTGATACTTGGGACACTTAAATACCAGTAGCGAGAGCAGTCAATTCCCGACACTTGATCCTTGGGACACTTAAGTACCAGTAGCGAGAGCAGTCAATGCCCAACACTTGATACTTGGGACAATTAAATACCAGTAGCGAGAGCAGTCAATTCCAGACACTTGATAATTGGGACACTTAAATACCAGTAGCGAGAGCAGTCAATTCCCGACACTTGATCCTTGGGACACTTAAGTACCAGTAGCGAGAGCAGTCAATGCCCGACACTTGATACTTGGGACACTTAAATACCAGTAGCCAGAGCAGTCAATTCCAGACACTTGATAATTGGGACACTTAAATACCAGTAGCGAGAGCAGTCAATTCCAGACACTTGATACTTGGGACACTTAAATACCAGTAGCGAGAGCAGTCAATTCCCGACACTTGATACTTGGGACACTTGAATACCAGTAGCGAGAGAAGTCAATGCCCAACACTTGATACTTGGGACACTTGAATACCAGTAGCCAGAGCAGTCAATGCAAGACACTTGATACTTGGGACACTTGAATACCACTAGTCAGGGCAGTCAATGCTGACACTTGATACTTGGGACACTTAAATACCAGTAGTCAGAGCTGTCAATGCTGACACTTGATACTTCGAACACTTAAATACCAGTAGCCAGAGCACTCAATGCCAGACACTTGATACTTGGGACACTTGAATACCAGTAGCCAGAGCAGTCAATGCTGAGACTTGATACTTGAGACCCTTGAATGCCAGTAGCGAGAGCAGTCAATGCCCAGCACTTGATACTTGGGACACTTAAATACCAGTAGTCAGAGCAGTCAATGCCCAACACTTGATACTTGGGACACTTGAATACCAGTAGCCAGAGCAGTCAATGCAAGACACTTGATACTTGGGACACTTGAATACCAGTAGCCAGGGCAGTCAATGCTGACACTTGATAATTGGAACACTTAAATACCAGTAGCCGGGGCAGTCAATGCCAGACACTTGATACTTGGGACACTTAAATACCAGTAGCCAGAGCAGTCAATGCTGACACTTGACTCTTGAGACACTTGAATACCAGTAGCGAGAGCAGTCAATTCCCAACACTTGATAATTGGGACACTTGAATACCAGTTTCGAGAGCAGTCAATTCCCGACACTTGATAATTGGGACACTTAAATACCAGTAGCCAGAGCAGTCAATGCCAGACATTTGATACTTGAGACACTTGAATACCAGTAGCCAGAGCAGTCAATTCCCGACACTTGATACTTGGGACACTTGAATACCAGTAGCGAGAGCAGTCAATTCCAGACACTTGATACTTGGGTCACTTAAATACCAGTAGCGAGAGCAGTCAATTCCCGACACTTGATACTTGGGACACTTGAATACCAGTAGCCAGAGCAGTCAGTTCCAGACACTTGATACTTGGGACACTTGAATACCAGTAGCCAGAGCAGTCAATTCCCGACACTTGATACTTGGGACACTTAAATACCAGTAGCGAGAGCAGTCAATGCTGACACTTGATACTTGGGACACTTAAATACCAGTAGTCAGGACAGTCAAATTCCCGACACTTGATACTTGGGACACTTGAATACCAGTATCGAGAGCGGTCAATGCTGACACTTGATACTTGGGACACTTGAATACCAGTAGCAAGGACAGTCAATTCCCGACACTTGATACTTGGGTCACTTAAATCGCAGTAGCGAGAGCAGTCAATTCCCAACACTTGATACTTGGGACACTTAAATACCAGTAGCCAGAGCAGGGAATGCCCGACACTTGATACTTGGGACACTTGAATACCAGTAGCGAGAGCAGTCAATGCCCAACACTTGATACTTGGGACACATAAATACCAGTGGCCAGAGCAGTCAATGCCCGACACTTGATACTTGGGACACTTAAATACCAGTAGCCAGTAGCCAGAGCAGTCAATGCTGACACTTGATGATGCTTGAGACACTTGAATACCAGTAGCGAGAGCAGTCAATGCCCAACACTTGATACTTGGGACACTTGAATACCAGTAGCGAGAGCAGTCAATTCCCGACACTTGATACTTGGGACACTTAAATACCAGTAGCCAGAGCAGTCAATGCCCGACACTTGATACTTGGGACACTTAAATACCAGTAGCGAGAGCAGTCAATGCCGACACTTGATACTTGGGACACTTGAATACCAGTAGCGAGAGCAGTCAATGCCCAACACTTGATACTTGGGACACTTAAATACCAGTAGCGAGAGCAGTCAATTCCCGACACTTGATACTTGGGACACTTGAATACCAGTAGCGAGAGCAGTCAATTCCCGACACTTGATACTTGGGACACTTGAATACCAGTAGCCAGAGCAGTCACTTGAATACCAGTAGCCAGAGCAGTTGATACTTGGGACACTTGATACTTGGGACAATACCAGTAGCCAGAGCAGTCAATTCCCGACACTTGATACTTGGGACACTTGAATACCAGTAGCAAGAGCAGTCAATTCCCGACACTTGATACTTGGGTCACTTGAATACCAGTAGCGACAATTCCCGACACTTGATACTTGGGAACTACCAGTAGCCAGAGCAGTCAATGCCCGACACTTGATACTTGGGACACTTGAATACCACTAGCCAGGGCAGTCAATGCTGACACTTGATACTTGGGACACTTAAATACCAGTAGCCAGAGCAGTCAATTCCCGACACTTGATACTTGGGACACTTGAATACCAGTAGCCAGAGCAGTCAATGCCCAACACTTGATACTTGGGACACTTGAATACCAGTAGCCAGAGCAGTCAATGCAAGACACTTGATACTTGGGACACTTGAATACCAGTAGCCAGGGCAGTCAATGCTGACACTTGATACTTGGGACACTTAAATACCAGTAGCGAGAGCAGTCAATGCAAGACACTTGATACTTGGGACAGTTGAATACCAGTAGCGAGAGCAGTCAATTCCCGACACTTGATACTTGGGACACTTAAATACCAGTAGCCAGAGCACTCAATGCCAGACACTTGATACTTGGGACACTTGAATACCAGAAGCCAGAGCAGTCAATTCCCGACACTTGATACTTGGGACACTTGAATACCAGTAGCGAGAGCAGTCAATTCCCGACACTTGATACTTGGGACACTTGAATACCAGTAGCCAGAGCAGTCAGTTCCAGACACTTGATACTTGGGACACTTGAATACCAGTAGCCAGAGCAGTCAATTCCCAACACTTGATACTTGGGACCCTTGAATACCAGTAGCAAGGACAGTCAATTCCCGACACTTGATACTTGGGTCACTTGAATACCAGTAGCGAGAGAGGTCAATTCCCGACACTTGATACTTGGGACACTTGAATACCAGTAGCCAGAGCAGTCAATGCAAGACACTTGATACTTGGGACACTTGAATACCACTAGCCAGGGCAGTCAATGCTGACACTTGATACTTGGGACACTTAAATACCAGTAGCGAGAGCAGTCAATTCCCGACACTTGATACTTGGGACACTTGAATACCAGTAGCGAGAGCAGTCAATGCCCAACACTTGATACTTGGGACACTTGAATACCAGTAGCCAGAGCAGTCAATGCAAGACACTTGATACTTGGGACACTTGAATACCACTAGCCAGGGCAGTCAATGCTGACACTTGATACTTGGGACACTTAAATACCAGTAGTCAGAGCTGTCAATGCTGACACTTGATACTTCGAACACTTGAATACCAGTAGCCAGAGCACTCAATGCCAGACACTTGATACTCGGGACACTTAAATACCAGTAGCCAGAGCAGTCAATGCTGAGACTTGATACTTGGGACACTTAAATACCAGTAGTCAGAGCAGTCAATGCCAGACACTTGATACTTGGGACACTTAAATACCAGTAGCCAGAGCAGTCAATGCTGACACTTGACTCTTGAGACACTTGAATACCAGTAGCGAGAGCAGTCAATTCCCGACACTTGATACTTGGGACACTTAAATACCAGTAGCGAGAGCAGTCAATGCTGACACTTGATACTTGGGACACTTAAATACCAGTAGTCAGGACAGTCAAATTCCCGACACTTGATACTTGGGACACTTGAATACCAGTATCGAGAGCGGTCAATGCTGACACTTGATACTTGGGACACTTGAATACCAGTAGCAAGGACAGTCAATTCCCGACACTTGATACTTGGGTCACTTAAATCGCAGTAGCGAGAGCAGTCAATTCCCAACACTTGATACTTGGGACACTTAAATACCAGTAGCCAGAGCAGGGAATGCCCGACACTTGATACTTGGGACACTTGAATACCAGTAGCGAGAGCAGTCAATGCCCAACACTTGATACTTGGGACACATAAATACCAGTGGCCAGAGCAGTCAATGCCCGACACTTGATACTTGGGACACTTAAATACCAGTAGCCAGAGCA